GGTCATGAACTCTCTCGGCAAGAGTATTTGGAGATGCCGGTACCTGTGCAGAAGGACCAGTTTTGCTATACGCTTGTGAAACCTGGACACTATCCTGCGCCTTGGAGTCTCAACATGATGCCTTTTGTAATAGGTCCTTGCGCCGGATCATGGGGTACTGTTGGCGGGACCATGTTTCTAACCAACGGTGGAGGAGGCCTGTGGGTTGACATAGGAAGTCGTGGCTTGGGCAGATCGATCAAACCTGTTGTGAGGAGCTTGAGATGGGCCGAGTCCCTGCCTGGCGACTTGCCATGAGGGACCCTCGCAGGTACAAGCAAAGGGTGGATGTGGCTATGCGCCCCCATTGGCGTTAGCTCCGCAATGATGATGATGATGTACCAAGATGTTTCCGTCTTTGTGTAATGGTAGATTGTGGCCCGAATAGCCCTTTTGTTAAACATTTGGTATATGAGTATATAAACAATTTGTATGTACATTTGTGTTCTGACTACAGATGTGTTGCAATGGTGCCAGCTGTTAAAATAATACTCATAATTATGCACATTCTGTATTCATAATTCAGCAGTAATTCTTTTTAGTTCTTCACTATTTTTTTTATAGAAATTTGGTTTTCATATAATAGTGTTATGCTATATGCATTATGATCAATATCAAAGAAGGCAACCATCAAATATAATACATACTATGTATTATATTGTATGTAAAGCAAATAAAAATAACTGAAATTGGTTGTATTGATGAGATATAAAAAAAAAAAAAAAATACATGCTTCCAGAATACATATAAATATTGATAACCTTTAACATCCAAAACATAAGTATTACATAATATAAATAATTATCTGAAAAAGAAAATACCACTGAACTCATTAAAGCAAACAATAAAAAAAAAAATACTTATAAATGAAAATGGTACACAAATGCACTGAGCCGTGCTCGGAACTACGATGCACCAATACACGATAAAATATCAGTGTTCTGCGATTCGGCATATATTTGTACCATGGATTTTAACGCTCTACGTGATAAATCATCCTTTCACAATGGTATATACCTGCCCTTGATGCAGAATTCCAACGACCACAGGCATGGTCGCGATGAGAAGGTATCGTGGTGCGAGCGAGATCTCTGAGTTACCAAACACAGTTAACGTGTTAATTGGTTCCACAAGTGCTGAGCCACCAGGGAAGCCTACATGACCTTAACTGATTTCCTGTTTTCTTGAGTTTTTTTTTTTTTTTTTTTTTTTTTTTTCCCCAAATGCTAGTAATATTGATGCTCTTATTATTGTTGTTAATATTATTATTTTAATGTTATTGGCAAAAAAAAAAATTAGAACGTAGATATAAGAATAAACAGGCGAGCTAGGTAGGACAAGGTTAGTAGATCCATATCTGTGTAGATGACATCAATAAACAAAAAGACAGTGGACATGGCATGTATTCTTGTCATCCCATCAACATAGGGTTAACTGCACCATGTATTCTTGAAACACTGTCTAATGCTAAGGATTTTAGTTAATAGATATGTGATTGAGTTCCTTTAAGAATTTCAGTATTTATTGATTAGAATGGGCTTGACTTCAGAATTGAGAGCCATTAACTTTATCAGTGATCTGCCTCTCTGAATATTTTACTTATTGTGTAGTCCAGTAAAAGAATGAGGACAACCCCAGAAGAATTGATTGTGTGATTGTATTGTCTTTTTTATATTTATTTTCTTTTCTTCATTGTATATGAAAAAAATTAAGGTCATCCTCAAAAGAATTGACAATTTTCATTGATTTTGAAGCATATATTACATCTAGGGAATCAGTTTCATTACAAAATGTGGTTCTTTGGGTATTAAATGCTGTTTAAAACCAAGAAACCTCTGAATTACTATAGTTAGATGTTCATGAAGATTTAGTGTTAAATGGTATTGTTAAAAAACATAAAAACGTGAATAAGTTCATGTGAATGACCCAAGCTAATTTTACCCTGCTGCTGGAACCTCAGGTATTTTTTACGTGGCCTTTTTCATTTTTATTGTTATACACTTTGTAATACACAGAATATGTCATCATTTCTTCCAAACAGGCCTATGTCTTCATTGCTTTCTTTCATATATTATCATATTGGCTGTAGTAACATGTAACCAGTTCCTTAAAATAAAATTTGTTACAGGCTGTGCAGGATCATCACTTCAGCTTCAATCATGCCTCCAACAAAACGAGTTCCAACCTTGTTTGACACCAGCCTGAAACAAGTGACGTTCCACCTGATTGAGATCTGTAAAGTGACGGACCAAGTACGAGAACCAAGTCAGGAAAATGGGATAGATCAAGTGTCAAACTACATTCGTGAAAATTTGATTGCATCAGTGAAAAATTGTCTCCTGAAGAAGATTATGTATCAGCTTTTGCATTCAAAGTTTGATGGGATATTGGATATAGGCTTGTTTAGAAGTACAGTTAATGGGCATGGTGTTACAGTGCCTGTTTTAGGAAAAATTATAAAAAGTATTTTGCTGATTTTCAGTGTAGAAGGCACCACAGAGTTAGATTTTCAGCATGACGTCATCCGTCAGATTTCAGCATACGAGAGTGTTGTAGGTAACCACTGTAAGGAGGCATTTATTTATACAGTTTATGCTAAACCTCTTTGGGCACAGAGCTTGGTGTCATTAAATTTGAAATATGTAGCAGATTCGAATGTCATGAGAGTTGTTGCTGCACACTGCCCCAATCTGCAGTATTTGAACATTGAGTCTCTCCATGAACCGCAAGACACAGATCCTTTAGTTGATAACTTGTGTTGGTTATATGGGGAATACTCATCACCATGGCCATCAGAGAACATGCCAAAAGGTTGCCCCAGACTGCAGACGCTTATTCTGCCAAAGTACAAAGGACTGATGCCAGCTGTTTCTCATGTCTTAAAGATGGTTATGTACATGCCTGATCTCTGTTGTGTTCGAAACGTGGATACAAGATTAGTAACAGAAAAATATTTAGAAGAATTTGGTGATGCTCGGCCACTGAAACTCATTGAATTAGAGGAATGGCCTAGAAGCTGTGTGGATAGGAGTGTCAAATCTGATTTCACTGAGACTGCAAAAATTGTGCCAAGTATCAAAAGTTACAAATCGTACTCAGGAGAACTCCTTACTGAAGACTTCTATCGCCTCTCAAATCTGGCCTCTTCATTTACATGTTTAGAGCAACTGGTGCTATATCAAGATAGATTTAATAACCTAGAGTTTGACCTAAAGAATCTCCCTTGTATTCCTAGTATAAAAAGTCTTGAATTAGATTTAGATGAGGAAAATATTGTCCTTGAGCAAGTCCACTCCCTTAGTAAGGCTTTCCCAAATTTGAAACAGTTAAAAATTCATAGTTGTGGTCTCTTTACCTATATGAATGATGCAGAGAAGGAGACTGGGGTACTCTTTGACCATCTGGAGACATTAGACCTCCACAGAGTTACTGAAATGGATACAGAATTCCTTGGTGCATTTCTGAAAAACTGCCCGAAATTGACATCACTGAGTTTATCTGTCAGTGCTCTATTTGCCACTGATGAGGATGAGCCAGTAACTCATGAACTGATTTATGCCCTAAGGGATGACATGCATAATCTCAAGAGAGTTCTCATAATGAGAGAATATGAAAAATATGCAGACCCTTTAAGTTTAACTCTTGATGATGCTATAATTCTAATGGCAGTTTGTCCAAAGTTGACATGGTTAGGAAAACTTGGCACTTGGTGTGTGACTGAACGTGAGGTGGAAATGCTTATTGCATTTTGCAAAAGCCAAAATAGGGATTTGCACATCTCATATTCACAGACTGATTATAGTACTAATGATCTTTAAAATGCTCCTCTGTGATTGTTTTGAAAAAAAAATATTAGTGATTCTTCCTGTGCTATTAAGTAACTACATATGTGATATGTATTTCTGTATATATTTGTTTTATAAAGGAGTTTTATGCCTGGGACTCCCTTCTTAGGGGTTAAGGCAGTGCCTTGGAGGAGTTTAGGGTTGGCGTTTGCCTTATTTGATCCTTTTTTCTTACATCGACCATGGTCTTGGGATGTGAAAAGACAGCGTTTTCCTGGAGAGGCAGGTATGAACATATAGATCAACAAGAGTAGCCATTATTAAAAAAAGGCCATGTGTACAGTACATGGCATCTGCTTTCAAACTATACTGGAAAGTATAACCAAAGAAATAGATTTTACCTGTAATTATATCAACAGTGAAACTAAACTGATTAGTCTTTTATTACAACCTGTCTTTTAGGAGTATGTAGTGAGTCAATATATAGGCCAAGATGCTAGTTTATATATTTTGTCTTTTAAGCTTTTAAGCTTTTATTATTTCTTTCCTTTATCATTCCCAATCTCCCACCTCCAAAGTAAGTGTTATGTAAAAAGGTACACTCTCTCTCCCCCACTCCCCTCCCACCCCTCACCCACCCTCTCTCTCTCTCTCTCTCTCTCTCTCTCTCTCTCTCTCTCTCTCTTCTCTCTTCTCTCTCTCTCTCTCTCTCTCTCTCTCTCTCTCTCCTCTCTCCCTCTCTCTCTCTCCTCTCTCTTCCTCTCTCTCTCTCTCTCTCTCTCCTCTCTCTCTTCTCTCTCTCCTCTCTCTCTCTCTCTCTCTCTCTCTCTCTCTCTCTCTCTCTCTCTCTCTCCTCTCCCTCTCTCTCTCCTCCCTCTCCCTCTCCTCCTCTCTCTCCCTCCCTCTCTCTCTCCCTCTCCCCTCTCCCTCTCTCTCCTCCTCCTCCCTCCTCCCTCCTCTCTCTCTCCTCCTCCTCTCTTCTCTCCTCTCTCTTTCTCTCTCTCTCTCTCTCCTCTCTCTCCTCTCCTCTCCTCTCTCTCCTCTTCTCTCTCTCTCCTCCTCTCTCCCTCCCTCCTCCCTCCTCCCTCCCTCTCTCCTCTCTCTCTCTCTCTCTCCTCTCCTCTCTCTCTCTCTTCTCTCTCTCTCTCCTCTCTCTCTCTCTCTCTCTCTCTCCTC